TGCTAGGAAGATTAAATGAGAGAACATGTGGAGAAAGAGCAGGCACTGCCAATAAATCCAAGCCTTTCCTAATACCATGGAGCCACATCTTAGCAGCACTAGGGCATTAAGCAGCTTCATCAGCTCTCCTAGGACACTGGCACGTGAAAGGGAAAAAGAGTCTGCAGTTCAGTGTTCTTCCACACAGACGCCCACAAAGTACGGGCGGTTCAGGAAAGATGAGGACAGACAGCAGGTAAAGAGGTGAGGGCTACTGGAGGGGACCTGGCGAAGAGATGCCCAAGGACAGGGAAGGGCTCTGATAAACACCTCTGGTCCAGGAACTAGAAATAAAGAATGGAAATATTTAAGTAGGCAGAGAGGACTCTCCATAAATAAAAAATCATATATGGAAGAAAAAACTAGAAGCAGAAAATGAAAAATCTAACAGAGTTGCTTTCTCTTTCCTCGTTCTTTCCTGATCATTGCCTTTGAATGAGTTTTGAAGGAAATCAAATGCCATCCAAATTTATCTTTCTTATGAGCACTGCTGCTCAGTAAAGATAAATAAACACAGCTCAGTTTTAATAAGTCCCTGCCACAGCATTTGCGTTGGGCACTTGTTAATACATTCTAGGACGATATCAGAATAAGAGCCCTGATTTACAGCACAGGGGCTCTGTGCTCTCTCTAGATATGTGTTCTCTTCATCCATCATAATAACGATTCTTAGTAGTACTTGCTCCAATGTAGATAGGAGAAAACTTTGAAAGGTTATCTGAGGTTCTCAAGGTTATAGCTTTAAAATATCGCATTCAGAGTCTGACCTGGAGTGTCTGTGATTCCAAAGCCCTCCCCACTCTCGCACCCTTCAGCTTTGCTTTAGCAAGGTCATCATCACTCTTTCCTCCTAGTCTATTATGTGGAAATGCTTACAGTTGAAAGGCGAGCAGCACTACGCAGTGAGGAAGGGCATAGGCTACATTAGGCCAATAATTTATTTTACGCAGTACAGAAAAATGAACACATTTTTTCAAAAGAATTATCCACACCATCATCTGACCAAATGGACTGTCCCTAAAATCATCAGAGACCCCATAATGAACCCTACATGATTCATAGAAAAAGGAATGTGGGAAAGAGATGACATCGGATAAAGTGCCTCTCAATGGTAGCTGACCCCCATGGTAAATTGCCATATATATATGTATTTGGCCCCAGATTTAAATTCCCCTCCCCTTACTAGCCTTGTGATTGTGGAATGATACTGTCAACTCTAAAACTGTGATCACACTTCCTACCTTAGAGGGTGCTGAGTTTTTAAGGGCTCCAAGCTAGAAAGTGTGTAATAAAATACCTGTCACAGACTAGTCTCTCTATATTGGTAGATTTTATTAGCAAGAATGAGAGTTAAGGTCAGAGCCTGGGCCCTAACAAGTGAGGCTTGGCCACTAGCCCCCCTCCCCCTAGTGGACCAATTGAAGACATAAATAATGGTGAAAAGCAGAGATATATTCAATGTATTGACATTGGGAAGTAGAACAAAGGAGTTTAGTCACCCACAAGTCCATCTTCTGGGGTCCCGACATGAGGTTCAAATAGAAGGCACCGGGAGCTGTGTATATAACTAAGCAGTCTTGGTTAAGGTGTGGTCCTGCCCATCTCTGACCCGTCGTCGTCTCTGCCCCAGTTTCTTCTGCAAGGTGGCCTGACAGCTTGCCAGAACTGTCTTTCTTAAAGACAAGCTCTCCCCCATGGGCCCCAGGACCCGGTCTGGTCTGTTCCTTCTTCCAGCATGAGAGTCCTGAGGAAATTCCAATTTCTTGGAGTCTATTGTCTTAATAGTCTGATAGTTAACGGGAGAGGCACAAATGTCTCTTTAGAATATCTTTGTTCTTGCCAGGATGGTTAGAAGAAGAGGTGATGGTCCACAGGGAAGTAGGAGGGAGGTATAAAGGGCAGGGTGAGGGCCAGAGAATCATAAGGAAAGCCTTAGGGGTGTTCAAGCCCCACTCCCCTCTCTCTTTAGTTCCTGCCTTCAATCCCTGGCTGCCACCAACCATATCGCCTCTCTCCTTCCTCCAGCCAGGCTCAGCCCATTTGCTTTCCTTTTTCCATCTAGAGTGTTTCCAGAACTTCCTGTCCTCCTACCCATGTGCATTTTCGCCCTTCAGTGCCAAGAGGCTTTTCCTTACCCTACTCAAAGCTGGGAAACCCCAAGAGCTGCCACGTGCCATCTTTTTGAAATGAGTTGCTTAATTCAATTAGTTATTTTAGCCACAGCTTCTGAAGTATAAGCTTAGTGACAAAGCACTTTGTGCAGTCGTTTAACCAGATGGATATGATATATTTTACTTGAAGAGTGCTATGCCCTGGGTGTGTGGCCCAAGCACTTGAACCACAGGGTGCCAGAGGGTCCTCCTGGAAGGAGTCCTGCTGGACTCCAAGCTCTTCAGAACTTTCTACAAATCTCTTTTTGGCTCACTGTGTTTTCATTATGTGGTTATAGATCTGCTTTTGCACCATCTGAGCTGGTCTGATTCATCTCTGTACATGCTAAACTTGAGCACATCACCTATTACATTATTGATGCTCAATAAAAATTCGAATGAATGACTCTGTAAAGGAACTCTATATATCAGCTCTCTCCTTACACACACACACACACACACACACACACACACACACACACACACACCATAGCACTACACTTATTTGCAGAAACATTTATATACAGTACAATAACAGGCATACATTTCCCATTAGATTTTTATTAGCTTTCCATAGCATCTCTTTGCAAAGAAGGGAAGCAATCAGTTTAAATTACAGCCAGTACATTTTTTTTTTCCTGGAGCTCAACAGCCCCAAGCCCTGTGGTTCAGAGCCCTTTCTCTGTCCAGTGCCTAGAGAAGTGAATTTTGTAGTGCTGGGTTCTGTCTATCCCCCCCCACCCCCACCAGTTTAAGCTAAAGGCCAGAAAGCAGCATGCAGTCAGGGTTTAACAGAGCGATGACCACAGAGGATTGTACTAGAGGATCTGAGGAACTGGTTAGCATTTCCCTAAAATCAGACACCAGTCAGTAGCTGAAATCAAAGCCGCCGGTGCAGTGCTCTACATTCTCATTCTAGAACGGCAAACAAGACGAAAGTCCCTACAAGGCATTCAGTCCACTGAGGACCCGGACAGGGGCTGACCTCCACCGGAACTGAAAGCGGGACGCCAGACACCATGACTGCAGCCCCGGTCCCTTAAAGAACTGATTTACCTTAAATGATTCTACAAAACACACTTTGCAGATTCCGTTTTCTGGGATGGAGGGATGTGGAGAGAGACCAATCAAATCATCCAGTGAGTCTTCTAGAAGGGAGAGAAGGGAAGGGCTGAGCTTAGGGAGGCTGCTCCCTGGGAAGCTCAGCCATGTCTCAGGGTGAAAACAGCAGCTTAGCAACCCGTTCCCTAGGAAGGTCACTAGGCGGCGGCTTTTTTTTTTTTTTTCTTTTTAAAGTGACAGTTTAGTCTCCTGGCATATGAGCTTACTGGATAAGCAGAGGAAAACAGCCTGTGAAGAAAGACAAAGGGAAAGCAATTTAGTGGGCAGCTGGGCAGAAGGGACTCAGGCTTTCAGTGGTGCCCCACCTCAGCTGTGTACATGGCATTTCTGGTAAAGGACAGAGCTGTTCAGAAGCACAGGGTTTTATAGTCACAGTGGGCCGCGGTGCACGGAGGAGGTGTCTACGTTAGCAGCAGGGTCTTCTCTGCGGACCGGCATCAGGGCACCAGCAACTGTGAAGTTGGGGTGTTTGGGACTGTGCATGGAAGCTCGAACGCACAGGCTTCACCTCTGTCTGTTCTCTGAATCCCACTACAGATGGCCCAATGGTGCACACGTCATGGCTCCAAAAAGCAAAGGAAATGGGAGAAAAGGCAAAGCAGACAGACCAAGGACAGAGAGAGAGAGAGAGAGAGAGAGAGAGAGAGAGAGAGAGAGAGAGAGGAGAGAGACCGACCGACTTGATTATCTTTTGTATTCTTTTGTGTGTATGTGTACATGAGATCATGTGTGTGCATGTGTGTGCATGTGCATGACTGTGAACGCTGCTCTTGAGGACTCTGCCACTTTGTCCTTTTTAGATGAGGTCTCTCACTTGAAGCTGGCGATTGATGATTAGGTTAGGCTGCCTGGCCAGCCAGCTCCAGGGATCCACCTGTCTCTGCCTACCAGTACTGGGATTACTAGCATGGGCCACCATGCTGGGCTTCAGGGTCACCTTCAAAGCCAGGTTCCCAGGCTTGCATGGCAAGCACTTTACCACTCAAACTGTCTCCCAACCTCTATTTTTCTGTATTGTTGATGCTCTTACATTCACTCCTTGATCAGCTAGCTAATTCCTAGAAATAGTAAATGAATCCCGTGAAATATCCAATTTCTTCTTTGATATTTGCCAGTCAGTCCTACACTGGTATATCCAATCACCTCCTTACCAAATTTACCCATTGAGCAATGCCTCCTGCTCTAAATTACCCTAGGGACAGATGATCAGGGCCCCCCTTAATGGTCCAGAGTTTGCTGAAACAATTCAAACTATTCCATCCCAAAGTCACCTGCACACCCTCCCAAGCCTCAGCTCCTCCTTCCAGGGAAAGTCCCAGGAAAGGGTCTCTCGCTGAACCTGGAGATCATTGATTCGCTAGACTGGCTAACCTGGCTGGCCAGTGAGTTCCAGGATTCCTTCTGCCTCTGCCTCCCCAGTGTTGGGACATAGACACTGTAGCTGCTTGGCTTTTTTGTGTGTGTGGGTGCTGGGGATATGAACTTAGGTACTCATGCAGGACAAGTACTTTATCAACTAGCCATCTCCCCAGTCCGAGAAATAAATTCCTAGCCGTTGTGCTATTACAGTAGTTGTATATGGTAGTATATAATAATGGCACAAGATAGACCAAGACGTCTTGCTTCTAGGGGTCTGCATGAAGAACTTTTCACCACGACAATCATGTCCAGGTCTGCATGTTTCACCACACCTGATTCAAATCATACAGTGTGCATGAAGTGTGTATGTGAGTCGGTGTGCTTGTGTGGTGTGTGTACATCATGGGGACCAGGAGCTATGAGATCTAGGAAATTAATCTGCTCTGCAGAATCTCAGGCTTGGGAACAGCTGTGTATTGGAGGGACTTGTGGGTCCTCTCCTCTCCATGTTAGACTGAAGTTTTTACTCCTCGCACCTCAGAACCTGATGTTTTGGAGGTAAAGTCCTTACAGAGATAATGGAGTTAAAGTGAGGTTACTGTGTGGGACTTCATCCATGACAACTTAATCTCATAAAGTGGGGCAGGAGGGGGGCATTTGGACAGATGTGTACAGAGGGAGAAAATGAGAGGACACAGGTAGATCATCCTGTACAAGAAGTAAGGAATGCCAAAGGCTTCCAGAAGCTAGGACATCAGCCCGGAGCGGATTCTCCCACAGCTCCCAGAAGGAAGCAACCCTGTCAACACCTGATTGTGGACTTCCTGTGTCTGGAATTGTGAGAGGAGGACGATCTGTTGTTTCAAGCCACCTGGTGTATGGTACTTTGTTTTAGTGACCCTACAGAATGAGGCCAAAGCTGTAAGAATGCTGGAATGTTTATGAAAAGCTGGATTGTTAAGACCACCTGTTTCTGCAGCCTGAGGAGTGTTGCCCATCCTCCCAACTCTTCTTCTGTTGCCTAGAAGAGATTGGGATTGGGGTGCTTTTCTCGGGTAAAGCAGGAGGAGGGTATGACTCAGGGCTGACAATTGTTTATCTAATAGGGAGATAATCCAGGCTCTTTGTACGGCCTCAGAAAAACTTAGACATCCAAACACAGCTCGAGTTCCATCCTTTCTGTGCCAGTACTGAATTTAGAAACAATACAAAAAACAAAACAAAAATTCTGGAAAATTCATTTTCAGGAGAAACTGAATGCTCTCAAAGAATGGACCCCAGATGTTGACATTTCTGCCCCCTTCAAAAACAACAACAAAACTAGATCTCCCTCACAACCAAGCATTAAAGGAAAAACCGTTGACTCTCAGGCTAAGAAATCAGCACTGGTTTATTATTCCTTCCTTTATGGAAGGAATAATATAAAAAGAAAATCTGACTAAAGCGAAAAACAGATCTTCAGATTGGCAGGGACTGTCTAGTGCTGAAGGGACATCAGGGACACTTGTCTGCTTCATTCTGTATCCTGAGTGTGGTAGGAAAATGGTGCCCGAAGACTGCAAACCATGGGCCTGTGCCGTGTGGTTCTGCTGTATTGTTCATGCTATTTCTTTTAGGAACCCCCTAAATGACACATTTTAAAACAGTGGTCTCAGGCTTATGTATCTCTCTGGAAACCAATAAAAAAACTTTTTTTGGGGAACAAACCTTCAAGTAACAGCGCAACATGTTACAGATGAGTTTTGCTTACAATCCAAAATTAGACAACACAACTGGAAATTTTCTAGGCAGAAAGAAAAAACCCAAAACAGAACCGAGGGTACCATTAGATACTCCAAAATTTTTGATAATGCAGTATTGGATGGAGAAGGTAGAAAAACAAATGGGCAAATGATTAAAGACCAAAGGATGATCTGAACTTTGGAAAGAAGAGTACGATGATTATAAAAATATCAGGCACATTTGAAAATGAACCATGCAGGATTTTTAGAAATGAACAATGAAATTATGAGTATTTTAGAAAGTGAACAATATGTTCAGTTAAAGATGACTGAGCTGAAGAGAGGGTTAATGATGTGAAAGATAGACTTAAAAATTAAAATGTGGCACAGAACAGTAAGGAGTAGGGAAGAGTAGATAAAAGACCCTGGAAACTGAGATGGTCCATCATGTCTAAGGTGGTCCCAGAGATTAGAGAAGGAAATTTAATGGTATATCTTATAATTGAGGGATCATAGCCAACTTTCTCAACCTTTCCAAGTTTTAATTTTCTTATCTGTAAAAGGAGGTTAACAATAGTCTGAGCCAGGCATAGCTCACACCCATAATTCTAGCACTTGGGAGGCTGAGGCAAAAGGATTATTGTATGTTTGAATGACTGAGTCTCAATTATAGTGAGTTCCTGGCCAGTCTGGGCTGTAGAGTGGGATTCTGCTTTAGAAAAACCAACCAACCAACCAACCAACCAACCAACCAACCAACCAACCAACCAATTAGTACAAAGGTGCTAAACACAATCTCACCTTCTCTATGCTTCTGAGTCATCTGTATATCCTCTTTGGAGAAGGTTGTGTATTGGACAGTAGTGATGGGTTTGTGGCTGTAAATATATTTTGCAGCCTGAGATACTTACCTGCATGTTTTACACACACACAAACACATACATACACGCATGCACGCACACATGCACACACACACACACACTCACACACGCTCTTTCTAAACAGTGCACCTAGCAACCTGTTAGTAACCCAGGACCCCCACTTGCATCAAGTAACAGCACAACATGTTACAGATGAGTTTTGCTTACAACCCAAAATTAGACAACACAACTAGAAATTCTCTAGTTTCTCGAGCTGTACCTATACCCACTTTAAATATTTTTCATGTATTATTTTTATTTTATGTGTATGAATGTATTGCCTGCATGTAGGTAAGCGTACCCATGTCATGAAGTGCCTGTGGAGGTCAGAAGAGGGTTTCAGATCCCCCCAAACTGGAGTTCTGGATGGTTGTTATCTGCTATGTGGGTGCTGAGGACTGAACCTGGGTCCTCTGTAAGAACAGCCAGTGCTCTTAACCACTAAGCTATCTCTCCAGCCCCTTCATTTTAAACAGTGGAACTAAGTTACTTACCTTAGCAGCTCCTTCATGAAAATCCATTACTATTCAAATACTTCCTGGAACACAATCTGGGGACTATCTGGCCTAGACCAATTTTTGTACATGTGCGGAAAGGTAAACTGCATTCTGTCAGTGAACTTTTAGGTAGAGTCCTCTACTTGCTGTCTTATGCCTGTATATAATTGGGTGTGCATATGATTGAAATCAGATGCATATGGGATGGGACAAATGCAAAAACAAAAGCCTAAATAAACATACCTATCAATCAAAATAGAGAACCATCCAAACTACGCTCTTAGCAATCAAATTCCTCTTTCCTTCTCTTGAACCCCATATTAGGAAGTCCCAAACAATAATCAGGGCTCTTAAATATCTTTACTTGTGTGTCATCTGCTGTCAGTCTTGACAGTGCATTAATTTTTAATTTGTATTATTGCTTACTTTGAATAAAGTTTCTCTGCTACATTACAATCTTTGTGAACCTTTACTTCATGCTTGAATAGGATACCAAGAATCTGGAAACGTTTGGCCCAGACCCCAACCAGTAGAAATATAGCCAGTTTTATGACCACCAAGTCAATTGCCTTAATGCTTACACTCCTATTCAGATTTTTCATTT